TCAGAATTATAGGTTTAGTAAGGATTAGCAAGCATAAGTGCATATTTCTGCAACTACTACACTTTTTATAGCCCTGTCACACTCCGAGATAGAGTTGCATCATTACATAGAGTTATATAACCACAGAGAGTTACAGCACTGGGAGCATTACAGCATTGTCCCAGACAGTCTTGATTGTCAAAGTCTGGCTTGATCAAGTGAAAGAAAAAATAAAAAAGCCCGCAAAAAAAACAGAACGAACAAATAAAAGAAAAACAAACAAACATGAAGCAAACCAACAAAAAAAAAACACCAAAAAAACAACAAACCACAGCTTCAGGATACTACTGTGGCATCTCCTGATCCCATCTGTTAACAGCACATGCTTCTGAGTTGTAAAAGCCTCATTAACACATCTTTGCATCCTAATTTAGTATTCACCAGTCCTTCCCAATCACTTCCAGCAGGTGACAAGCATGATCTTTCACGCAAAAGAGACTCAAGATAACCAGTGAGAATCCTAGCAGAAAAAAAAAAACCTTGCAAGTTTACCTCCAGGACAAAATTCTTTCTTTATTGATGACAACAAAAGGAATAAAGCCATTGCACAACTAGGTGAAACTCAGCTATTAGCCAAAATAATGATGGTTTTTTTTTCAATCCTTAAACTTTCAGTTCAATATCATCTACAGCACTCCTGTCTTCAAATGGTGTTAGCATTTGAAGTAGCCCCATTTGCTCTCATAACAGTTAGGGCCCAGAAAAATGGCTTATTTTTTTCTGACAAATAAACTTAAGATTATTACCACTGTGTCTTTGGAGGGATTGAAAGTCTTCAGATGTTTTTAAAAGGCCACTGGGTAAAGACAGAATAAAAGCACAGCAAGCTGATAAAAGCATCCAACTGTGACCCTACAGTGGTACAAACATTAAAAAAGCAGATACTTTGGGATTTATTCTCTGAAAGAAAATACATAATGCACTCTTTCATACACTTGTAATGGTCTTCCATTGCTTGTGTAAAGCATTCAGCCATGACACCTGGGGATCTGGACCTATACCACCACAGGCATATCTATTCAGTACTTATTACTTGGTACTGAATCAAGATCAGGCAAATATTCATATTGTCAAAGAGGAGCAGGAGAAGGAAAGAAAGAGAGCCCAAACAAACAGCACAGCTCCTTCTCTGGAAAATAAGGCATCGTCCCAGTGACCACAAAGTGCAGCCATCATCTCCTGTCAAATCCTCTGCCCCACCACTAATTCTCACACCTCTTCTTCCACACTGCCACCATCCACAGCTCATTCAGTCACCAATTCAAGAGCTGCAACACTACAAACCATAAACCAAGCCAACAGAGAGTGTTCTCCCTACCTCCAGACCTGCACAGCTGCCAGTGGCATCTTTACCCACTTAGTAAAGTGGAGCAAACAAGTCAAGCAGGTGGCTCATGTTTCCTTTCGTTATCATCTTCACTGCTTCTACTGAGACACTAGAGTATTTTTACACTTTTGAATGATTAGACACTTTCCAAGTAATTTTCCATTACAAGGATACAACACTACTTTTTGGTTAGTGTTACACTGCTATACATCACTGGTCTCCCACACATTGCCCAGCGATAATAGATGCCATATAGCTATCAAGAAAACAATAGAGTCAAATCCTTTGTGCCAAACTGACTCTACCCTCTCAGAAACAGGAGTTTTGATCTCTGCCACTATATTTTATTAGAGGCAAACAGTTTTTAAATATCCCTTTTCTCCAGTCTTCCTTTCAGTACAATAAGATTCAACAGCTTTCTGAACTGCAGCAAATTCAGAGTCTCCTGGGTGACCCAGGAAAATTTTTCATTACTTTTACTCCCTCCTGCAAGCAAAGCCCCCTCCTCCCTCTCCTCCTTTGTGACAGCATTAACACACAGCAAACGGTGAGTGCACAGGTAAGCAGAGACACACACCATCTGTCATACTGCCTCACACCTCTCTTAACTTCCCTTGCTTGCACAGGGCTCATCCCTGTGGTGTCAACTGTATTTTTTGTCCTGAGCCTGTAAATAAGCATATTTTTAAGCTCAGTTTAGGAAAAAAATCCCAACTCTCCATTGCAATGAGCTTTGTAGTAAGATAACTATCTTATGTCCTGTTTCCACAAATACAAAGAGCTCCTCAACACTACTGAGCGTCCTTAGCACCAGACCAGGGTTCCCTGTTCCCCAAAACTGCTGTTCCCTTGCAAAGTCTACATGAGATGCTGACCACTTTGCAGCCACTGCAAGCAGATCTGGCAACCCAACCATTTATCTCCAGGAGCAAGGACACACAGACACCCTGCAGTGTAGGTACACCCATTGTTATGATTTAAATACCAAATCCTTGTGCCTTCTGGGAGCATGATATACTGAAGCTTCCCAACAAAGCAACATACCTTCGAACAGTGTAGAATATATTGGTACTGAGAGATTATTGCATAATGACATCAATATTTTATTTCTGTTGAATTTTTTATCTCAAATTTACTGCTCCCATAAGTAATAGACAGTAACTCATCTGCACCATAGTTACTTATGTATTATGTATTGCATAGTCCTGGCAGAATTTCTGAAAAAAATCCTTCATCCTTCTCTTAAAAAAAAACAAAAAAAAAAAAACAAAAAAAAACAACAAACCAAAAAAAACCCAGTTCTTTCAATGACAAATCCCAGAACTCAACAGCAATATTTTACTGGAATGCTTTTTATGAAAGTTTAAAAATTCTCCACTAGACTGTAATGTATATATTTACCAATCGCATAACTCAGAAAGTGGCCCAACAGCTTCTAAGCACATTGTAATGTTATCTGCAGGGACAATGAATTATGCATCTCTCACAGCACTACGTCTGACAAAACAACACTGTGATCCCAGTGCCATGGGATTCCGTAGATCCACCCAGTTGAAATAGAAAGTGTAATACAATACTGCTGTTTTCCCAACCTTGTAGTAAAATGGTGCAAATATTCAAATATCATTACATATATATATATAAAAAATATAAAAGACAAGCTCTAATTTATGCAAAAGCAGAAGAAAAATCTGTTTTGGGGTTTGTAATTATGGAGCCTGTTGGATATCTTGATCAGTGTTAATCAATGCTCCAATCAAAACACCCTTAAGACTGCAATCATATGCCTTAAAGAAATTTAAGAGATGTGTCTGTACTGTAAGCGCTTTTTAACCACACCGTCAAAATTCTCTGGCTGCTGATGACAATATTTTGCAATGTTCATCATTAAGACCTGGCATTTTAACTAATAGTATCCTTCATTGGAGAACAGCAGTACACAAGTTATGCACTTCACAGCTATTGCTCTCTCCTGTAGGAATGTATATTGTTCCTATAATGGATGCCAGATGGATTCTGCTCCTTCTCAACCACAAGACAGTCCCCCAGCACACCCCTGACTCCCCAGGGAAGACAGCCAAGTACATATCTCCCAGGCCAAGAACCCAAAGGAAGGCAAAATTCATCTTTTCTGCATTTGGGAACCACCTTCAGACTGTTTTCCCTCTCCTACTGCAAGCACATGCTCAATGCAACTATGTACTGCAAAAAGTGGGACAGAGCTGGGGAAAGAAGAGGGTCTAGGGGCTGGGTCCATGTGAGATAAATCTTGATCTCCCCAGTTAGCATCAAATAGGAAATCCTACAAAACTATCCTTGCAATGACTGGCTTTTTCCTTGATGAGCTCCCACTAAATACTATATATACTACAGCAAGGAGACAGTTCCATGCTTTCAGACCTCTACAGTTAAAGCATTTCAATTAACTGGCATTTATCCTGAAATATCTAAATTATTTCCAGGCAGAAGAAAGTGAATTAAAGGAACATTTGCAGGTTGCTAACTAAACTGTAGAGGCAGCAAAGCTTATGATGGCTTATGATATCCTATATCAGGGTCTTCTAACTTTACGGGTGATACTCTCTAGACAAAAGAATCTCGTACTTGTTCTTAGCCCAAAGAGAGGCCTTTTATTTTATTTTAAGTCTGCCTTTATAAATCTACTTTTCACTTATCCAAACACATAGAAGAAGTGTTATCTAGACCATAAGAAAATAGTTTAAATCCTGCTTGCATATTAAATAACACCAAGTTTATTCTAAGGAAGACGGTTTTGAGCACACACAGCTCTTGGTGAGAAATTAAGCCTTCTACAAGCACAAAGAGAAATATATAGCAAGGAATAAATTGCTAGAAGGCAGCTTACAAGAGAATATGGGATGTAGATGCTGTAGCATAAATGCCCTTCTTTATGTGAATGTGTACTATTTTACCCAAAGCAATATATATGTGAACTTGACACAAGATACATCTTAAACCAAAGCAGAGGATGCTTCTATATCCCCTCCACCTTTCCCTCCCAGTTCTTTCTTGTAGAAAGCTGCGGGTCTGGCCATGGTTTCTTCAGTGATGAGAGCAAGGTACATCACAACAAACACTATCACCAGCAGCTGCTAAGTAAATCTACAACATCCACCACTACAGAGTCATCATGGCTGACCAGTAATAAAGGACCCGAACAGGCTGTTTCTTTCACAGTTTATCTCCAAGTGTAAGAAAGGAAGGAAATATCAACTGCTCAACACAAAGGAGATGAATTTTTATTGGCTTTTTTTTTTCTGAAAAGAATACCAGTCCCTCAGGAGAAAGGTCTCCCAGGACAACACAGCATCAAAATTACTCAAAACTATGAAATTTTTAGCAAATGCAAATTGTAGAGAAGAAGTAGCGAAATGACAAAGAGACAGTTACAAAGGCTTCTAACTCTGGCAAAATATTACTGGGGAATTCCCACTCATTATGATTTATTATGTTCTATTTTTAAGCAATAATCTAGGAGAGTGGCTTTGAAACTCTGACAGGTCACAAAATACTTCCTGACGGAGATCACAGCATGAAATGTCCCTGTCACAGGACTAAGTGCAAGCATGTGATTTATCATTTACAAAAAAGTAATAGTGTATGTCATATTTACCTTTTGTTGAATCATCTTCAATCGGTTGTTTGAATAAAGTGATATCCTTAAAAGTGCACAAGAACAAAACCACTTTTTCATGCTCATTTCTTATGGGTGCAATTTGCATGTAGAACCAAACTGGGGTTCCTGAAGTAGAGAAAAAAAAAAGACATTGGGCTATGGTGTAGCAGAAACCTTCCCCATCCTGTACACAGAAAACTTCAGTATTTACATGTTATTATAACACACAATTAGTTTAGGATCATACCTTAATATTTCTACAACTTCCAGATCTTTTAATTTTAGCCCCTCAGAGCAAAATAACATATTCCCATTTTTACAGCTTCATTAATCTGATCAATGATAAGTAGAGACACGAAGCTTTATAAATCTCAATTCTGAAATCAAATATATTATTCTTGCCTTCTTGTTCTAGTTTTTCCCCAGCATGCTTCACAAACTTAGTGTCTGCAAGGTAGGAAGGCAAGAAAAAATGGATGGATGGCATCTTTGATTCTTTCCTCACATAACATGAAGCTATCAAATCTGAAACTGATGGAGTATACTGTCAAATACTCCAAATTTGATGCTACTCCATTATTTCAGAGGAATTGAGCTAATCCAGACATAGACTATAATTGTGCTATCAGGACAAATCAGCAGATTCAATTTCCTTTTTGTGGTCATACCCTCCATTGGCCTGCCCAGTGGAGCACTCTCCCAGTGCAGTTATCTCTATTAAGCTTTTGAAATAAATACAGAATATTTTAAAATCCTACCACTCATCAAATAAACAGCCAAAAAATCCCTACTGTGTTGGAGTGGTTAGCATGGCTTTTGGTAAATCCTCACTGTTCACACAGGGCTCCTGCAGGTGCTCAGGAGCTAAAAAGGGTCTTATTTCTTCCTAGGCTGAAATGCACATGGCAGTCCTCTATGTACATGCAGGTCTGCTCTGTAAGGGGTGAAATCCTAAAAGATTTTAAGCATCCTGCTTAGAAACACCCTGTTCACCTGCAGGGGCATAAATGTCAGACAGACTTTCCATCCAGAAAAGCTCCATGCCCATGGCTGTGTCCCCTCCCTCCCAAACTTGCACCTACACACACCTCACTATAAATGCCTTCACAGCTAGTTAATTACCTTTGGGATTTGAGGTGCTTTCAGCCAGTTGACATAATGGCTTTCCTCATAAGCTGCCTCAATGCCAGTCTGAGAGCTGACACATTGAGACAAGCCACTTGCCCACTGTTATCCCATGGGCACCACTGACTCCCCTCAAATCTCTGCTAACACATCATGTCTGGGAACTGTGCCAGGAACTGCAGGATAGATGCCCAGAGAGCAATGAAACCCTTTTGGGCTAGGACTACGGTGGGAAAGGTTAAAATCCACAAGAGTTCATGAAAAAATTCAGCACTGCTGAATTTCAATTAAACCAGTAGCTCACTAGCAGTAAACTGGAAAAGTGGGAGACACGGAGGACCGATTTTTGTGATAATTCCAAAGCCATTATGCTGATTACTTGATTATCTGAATTCCCAGTTGCTAACCTAAGATAAAAGATTCTTTTCATAACTTCTAAAACAGAGCGCTGCAGCTCTCTGGAGTAACAATGTACTTGCAGTTATACCTGGCAACTCATCAGCACCTTTGAAAAGCTCTGAAAGTAAGTAGGCAAAAATAACCTGTAAAACAGCACTGATAAAAATCAAAGATAGAGGCAAGGTGGCTATTGCTGTAGAAGCAGCAATTTAGGGAAAAAGCAGGCAAAAAGCTTTGCTGAGTACTACCCTATATATATTTATTCATATGAATGCATGCCTAACACGGTTGCTGAATAGTTGAGTGGGTAGAGCTTAGGACTATGTAAGAAGGAAAGCAATAAACCAGAAGAAAGTTGTAGTAAACCTTCATGTCTGAACCTGAAACCCACAAGCTTGGTTAAAATGCCAAGGGGGCATGGGAAGTCAGCAGTCATATGGATGTTTCTGGAGTGCTTACAGATCATCTCTGTGACAAAGCAAAGAAGGTTGGGAAAGCAACCTGAAAATCTCAAGATCTCCTCCTGCCTAAAGCATAAGCCAATGGGTAAAGAAAAAAAAAGGTTGTGCCACATCATCAAAAATACACAAGCACCTCTTGTTTGGTGGGTGGGAGGGTACTTGGAGAGCACTGAAACCTCCAGGAAGGGTCTCTGCCAGTGATAAACCCAAGCCCTTCCACGGAGTAACTATCTATGCTTTGCAGAAGTATATTCATAGCAACAGATAACTATTCTTTATTTCTCTATCTGCTCCGATATCCAGCCTGGAGGATAAGAATGCAGTTTCTTGAAGGACCTTCCACAAGGCTCAGAGTATGATAAATGGAAGCAAACCCTGGGCAAACCAGCTACAGAACTAGAGCCAAAAGGTGAGCCTATTAGCATTAGCAATAGGTTGAAGTTCTGTGTTTCGGGTTATAGAGAAGAAAGCTGGCAACAGATGTTATAGATGGGAACTGGCTCAAGCCTGAAAAGATATATGAGTAATTTTCCATAAAGTCCTTCTGTAATCCTGCATAACTTAAGGAAAGTATAGGTTTGGAGAGCTGGGCAAAGGTGAAGATTTTATTAAGGCAACAGCAGCTTAATAAATCTCTGAAGCATCATCAAGCTCCAGCAGACAATTCACAACCCAAAGCAAAAAGCTTGTTGCAGAAAAGTCACCAAGAGAAGGCTTTCCTCACTTTATACTTAAATAAAATAAAAAGGAAATTACTTCAGGACTGGCCCATGCTAGAGCAGCAGCTGCCAGCCCAGTTAATAAGGGAAGACAGAGTCAGGGAGAGCACTGGATCTCTGGGATCCTCTTTGGAAATCACACAGACACAGGGCATGTCAGTGACCACCACCTGCAAAGATACTCAACATGAATCTGTCCTGGGAAATTCCCCTAATGTGAGAGGCCGTCCAGGTGACCTGCACAGGAAACAGGCAGAGAAGCAGAAAATGTAGAGACATACACATCCATATGCTGAGGAACCAAAAAAGAGGTCATTTGGAGGGCTCTCCTGGGCACCTGCAGAAACAGCTAGACTTCAGAGCTGCTCTCACTTCTCTTTTTTAACTAAAGTATTCGCTAAAATGCTTTGAAGCATGCAGAATTAGAGAAATCTAAAGGCATTTCCTACTGTTTAATTCACAGACAGGAAGATTTAGTCTAAAAGGGTTAAGTGGAAATAAAGCATAATGCATGCAATTTGTTTCAAGAAGACGAGGTATCCAGGATGCTCTCTTCAATGTCATGAAAGGTTTATTTGAGTTTGCAGTGAAATGCGGCAGTCGGGCACAGTTAGCTCTTTCCTGAGGCACACCATTAACTTCCCTCAGCCACAGCACGTGGTGGAAATCTCACCAAAGCAAGGTGCTCCATGCTAGCACCCAGTGGGGGGAACATGGCCTCAGCTACTGCCCTCCAGACAGCTAAACCAGCGGCAAAGCTCCCAAGCCCCACCGGACCTGCACCCTGTACTGGGCAATGAAAGCCACGCTGAAGAAAACACTTCCATCAAGACAGGGCTTGTCTTGTCTTTGACACGGCCAGTGACCCAGTCAGCTAGACTCAATTTGCTCAGGGTAGAGGAACTAGCTTTTCTGGAGCATGCTTCATCTGATGGGTATAGGTTTTTCTCTTGAGAAGATGGCCTGTGCTAGTGGAGGATGCTGCTCACCTCCACTGACAACAGCAGGCATTTCAACCACCAGCCTGGGGGAGATATCAACACTGCATAAGCCCAGTGTGAGACCACACAACAGTGTGGGTTTTACTTAGTATGTGCTATAACATTGATAAAGCAGAAGTAGTACTACCCACATACATGGCAGGAGAGAAAATGTACTGCAGTGACTCCTGGTTAAGACAGAACAGAAAATCTTTTCTGGTGCTGGCAACCTCCTGTAAACCCAGTGCCACCAAGAGGAAGGGACTTAGGTCATACATCTCATTAAGTTACAAAATTCCTTGACTATTTAATTAATTCCTGCATTACGCACCAAATTTAGTATTCTCACCATAGGTCATAAATGTTGGTTTACACATCACAGAGGCATCTCAACAATGTTGGGAGCATCCACACATGCAATCGGATTCTGGGTTTGCACTTGAGGAGAGATGGGGGTGTTCCCTGAAGGATGTGGGGGAACCTCATTCAAGATTTCTTTTCACTTAATCCAGTCAGTTTCCATTCAGTAAAACAATCCTCAAAACTAAATATATTTTGTGAAGGAGTCAGACTAGAGATAGCAGGGAACCACTACTATTCTTGGCAACCTGAACACTTCTGAAAAAAAGCTCTCTTCTTGAGCTGTGGCAACCAAAACACCCATTTCTTCTCCAAATCTTCCCTGAAATTACCCATATATCAAAATGAAGTTTAATTTAATATATTATATACTTTAAATATGCTTTATCACACCCAACACCGTACACGAATATATACGTACTGTTTTTCTTGTAGAGGAGAATTTCAAAGCAGTTTGACTCATAGTTGTCAAAAGTCTGTCTGACTTTTTCAATGGTCTTCTTGTCAGTGAGTTCACCATACATAAAACTGAAAAAGAAAAAAGGTTTTTCTTTTTTCTAGACAAGCAACAACTTTGTTACAGTCACCTTAAAACAGCAAAAGGATTAGAGATGTTATTAACTATAATTTAGCAAAGTTTAACTATGATTTACAGTTCATTTAAATATTTAGATGTCACAAGGAAACCCACAATAGCGAGTAACCATGACCACCTTTTTACTGTAAATGACAACAAATAATTCGATTGCAATGTTTCATTAAATGCTTTTCTGAGCATATCTTTAAGGATACATGGTTATAAAAAGAGCTGATAACCTATAATGCTACAACTGCAGGCCATGAGAATATTGCTGTCAAAACAGAGAAAACGGAACAAAACCTCTAAAACCTCCCAGATTTTGTTCAATCCTCTAGAAAAGGCTTCTGGAGGTGGAATGGATGCTACTGCAGGTTAAGGCTGTTAGTTGAATCAATGACTACAAACCTAATCTTGTCAAGATGCATCTGGGACAGTAAGATAATCAAAAACCTTTTACTAAATACCGATTTCAAAGGTAGGATTTAACCAGTAAGACATAATGATTGTAATGCTCTGAAAACTCAGCATGGAAAGAAACTGTATGAGTTGTCTCAGTGTAGCTATATCTGCACTACTACCAAACATAACCAATTCACTCTCATTTTCCTTATTGTATAATGCATTTCTTCAATATTTCAGTAAAAATATGGAAAACATTAAAATGCTTTTGGAGATTTATCCCCGTCCAGGCTGAGAATACAAAGATGTAATTTTAACTCTGCTATGTCTTCCCACTTGACTATCTCATCTCCACATTCTTTTCCAGGTCAGACTTTCAGGTGGTGTAAGCAAACCCAACCCCCTGACCTTCCTTTTGAAAGCTTCTGCAAGGAAACAGTGAGGCTTTCATTGTTATTCTTCCCTGGATTAAAAATAAGTGAAGACTGCTCTGTGCAAATTCCCAATTACAGAACTGAAGGAAAATGGAACATGGGGTAAAAGCTTTCAGACACTTGGATGAATACACTTTTAATTGATCAGGCTTTTTTTTTTTTTTTTTCATTTTCTTTGTTCCCAAACAGTTTGAGCTTCAGCTGAACCTACAACAGACAACCCTGGAGTATGAAAGAGAAAAGCTATCAGTGCCTCTGTGGTTTCAATGCAGCTTCTCTTTTATTGATCAACAGACCTCCAAAGGTTCAATAAACATTTATTTTATGTCTACTGTTCTGAAATAAACAATAAAACAGCATAGTGGTTAGTGACTTGGCAAGCATTAAAACACTCAATGAAGGCCAGACCATGAATCTTTTCTTTATACAGCCAACCAAGGGAGGCAATGGGGTTGCTCCCAGAATAAGGTGCTCCCCAGCATGGGTGATGAAGGCAGTGGCTCTGACATTTGGATGTCACTTCAGCTGCTTCTTTTCTGGTAACACAGGGAGAGCTATTGATAAGTGACATGTTGTAAATGTTACCTTTGGGACAGCACTATAATGGAGATGCCATTACTACAGCAATTGATGTCAGGAAATGGTTTTACCCAGAGCACAGGTTTTCATTAAGGTACTGCTTATCATCAACATACATGACCGTCTTTAGGAAAAGCAAAACACAACCTACTGCTCATTTTTTAAGACCTGTCTTTCTTTCCTGAGGTCAGCTGATCATCTTTTATACATTTATACATGAGGTGAACAAAAAGAGTCTGTTTGGTCTTGGGTTTTTCAATCTATGCCTTTTTTAATGCACCAATGAGGTAAAGAAGATTGTTCTGTCGGCAAGGTGAAATTAAGACCTGGTAGTTTTCACACAGCCTGTTGTGCAATTGAATTCTCTTTTTTGTTTTGTTAAGATTTAAAACAATGTCTCTCTTAGTCCTGAAGGAAAAAAATCACATGAATTTGTTGAAGTGCTTGACTTTTACATGGCTTAAAATACAGAAAGTCACCATTAATTAGTGCTAAGATGACAAATGATACTCGGTATTCTGAGTAGTGGAAAATACTCGTTAGCATTGCTGAATACGATCAACTTTATGTTTTAAAGGCTATATTCTCACATATAAAGAGACATTTTAAAGGCCTGTGGGATAATAAAAACATTTTTCAGAAGGCAATTTTTAATAGCACCAAAGAAACCTCAAAGCTACTCACTGTACAAGTTATGTAAGACCTTTGCTTATCACAGGTTTAACTTCATTTAGTCTGTCCTATTTTATACACATGAAGGAACTCCTACTTCTTCAGTCAATCATTCTTTTTCTGCTTCGTGTTTTCTGTTATGTAGTGATTGTCAAGTGCCTTCAGTGCAAACTGTACAAGACGTAAATATCAAACCCACTCTGCTACTGGGAATCTTACTACCTAGAAAACACATATCAAAGAGAAACAAGACTTACTGAAATACTCAGAGAAAGGCACAATCTTAGATAATTTTGCCAGCTCTGAAAGAGACCATTTGTCATTTAAGAAGCATGGGATCCCACCTCCCTTTGAAAGCATCCTTTGGCACAGAAAAAACACATCTGAAGCTTTGCATTGTGCTCTTCCGTCCTTTGTCAGGATTCACAGCAATGGCGTAAGAACAGCTCCAGATCTACAGTGCATGCCAAGGTGGTATTTAACAGCATTTGTGAGAAATTATCCAGGATATGGGACAGGTGAAGCACAAAGTCTACATCCAATTTACAGCTCCCTTCATCCAGAAGCACTGGATGAAAAGGCATCAGTTACAAATACAGATACATGTCAACTTCAAAGCTCTGCAAGCTACAGAGCAGCTCCCTGGGTCCCACTGGCACCATCAGCAAGGTTTCTTTGCACAGCTTTGGCAGTGCAAGGAACCCTTCTCTCACACACACAACTCAGGTCAAGGAGTGATATCTGAGTATTAAACCAAACTTTTTTTAAAGTCCATCACGCTGTACCCACCACGCAAAATCCCATTTCTTGAATGCTTTGGGAATTTTGCCATTGGCTTCAGTGGAGACAGAATTTTTCTCACAGACTTTTTTTAATCCCACTTGTAATGGCAGTAAATCAAAACAAAGGAGAACAGAGATGTGGAGTGGAGCACTGCAAGCGCTTCAGTTGAAACACTATCTGTAAACAACCACTTCAGCAAGGAGATCCAATTCCATCCTCCTGTACAGCTGGAAGGCAACACGCAAACAGGGCCTACACGCAGGTTTCCTCTTTGAAAACAAAACCAGCAATCAGCTGTCTCCAGCCCAGAACCAGGCTTTCAGGGGCAGGGAAGGGTAAGCAAAGCAAAGCCTGGAGCAAAAGCCAAGTGTAAAATGCCAGGGTAGGTTACTAACCAGCCACTCAAGGGGTGCCTGCTCTTCCAAAGGCTACATGAGAATAGAGCTTAACTGATAAGCAACAATATTTAGAAAACAACATTTAGAAAAACAATATTTAGAAAAATATTTAGAAAAAAATATTTAGAAAAACTAGATTTTAATGTTTTATAGCTGTTAATTCTTTCAAGGTATTTATCAAGACATACATTGTCATGAGTGTGGGCAACTGGGCATGAAACAAGCGGTTTTCTTGCATGCTGACTGATCTATTGGTGCACCTTCAGGCAGGGCGGGCGGGAGAGGGTTTCAAGGTCAACTGAATGTTAGAGATGTCAGAACTGCAAATGCCCTGATCCTCCAGAACTGTCAGCTTACCTTCACTAGTAAACAAGTCCTTCCACCTAAAAATCCTGTGCATTTTAGCACTCCCTTATACCAATTATTCTATGTATCAGCTCCAGCTACAGATGCAACTTTGGATACCACATGCACCCAGGAAGAACAACACACGGTGATTCCCATCACACATTATCCACGTGGCCTGACCCCTGGATATAGTGCCTGTGAAACTAGGAAGACTGGCATTTGTACCGAGGTATTTCTGAGTGATTTTCCTGCCAATGGGCACATTATTGCTGATTAAAATTCACATCACAGAATCACAGAATTGGTTTGTAAGCGACCTTAAAACTCCTCCAGTTCCAATCCCCCTGCCACAGGCAGGGACATCTTCCTCTAGACCAGGTTGCCCAAAGCCCCATCCAACCTGGCCTTGAACACTGCCAGGGATGGGGCAGCCACAGGTTCTCTGGGCAACCTGTGCCAGGGCCTCACCACCCTCATGGTAAAGAATTTCTTCCCACTATCTAATCTAAATCTACCTCTTTGAGCTTAAAGCCATTCCCCCCTTGTCCTGTCACTACAGGACCTTGTCAAAAGTCCCTCCCCAGATTTCTTCTTGACCTCTTCAGGTACTGGAAGCTGCTCTAAGGTCTCCTCAGAGCCTTCTCTTCTCCAGCCTGCACAAGCCCAACTCTCTCAGCCTCTCTCCATAGCAGAGGTGCTCCAGCCCTCTGATCATCTTCAGGGCCTCTTCTGGACTCACTCCAAATGGTCCTTGTCCTTCTTATGTTGGGTGTCCCAGAGCTGAACCACACACCTTGGTGTCACCAGCAAACTTGCTGAGGGTGCACTCAATACCACTGTCTATGTTGCCAACAAAGATGTTAAACATCACCTGTCCTAATACTGATACCTGAGGAATGCCACTTGTTGGTGATGAGAATACTGCAAAATCAAAGGGATGATCAGCCCATGACAGGACTAATTCATTGTCTGAGCTGAAACAAAAGAATCACTCATACCTCCAGTGTCTTCTGTTTATCCACCTCTCCCTGTGATCAGTATCAGCCAAGACCACCTGAAGCTGAATATAATGATGACATATGAGCAGCCAATGTAGGGTATGGGGTGGAACAGACAGAAAGAAGATATAATGAATACTCTCTGGACTACCCAGGAGAAAATACTGGATGAAACTGATTTGAAGGCACTGTATCTTATAGACAGGGGCAAACAGACCAAATATTGCAAAATTTATAAATTGTCCTTGATCACACTCATGATCAGTAACAATAATGACTCAAATCAGGGGCTAGACAGACTTGCATTGTTTGTATGTAGAGAATGAAGATTAAGGGGAAAAAAACAAACACACACACACACACACCCCAAAAAAGGAAAAACAACCACAAAAAAAAATTAAAAAAAAAATCTCTGCTACAAATTCCATTTTCCATAATAATTCCCACTTGGATTTGCATCTGTATGATTCACCTGTATGATTTACTTAATACACCATCAAAACAGGATCCTTACAAATGGTAACTAAAGTCCATCACATTCACAAAAAGCACTCAGATACAGTAAACTTTTTGATCCTCTCAGTATTTGAGGCACGAGGCACAGGGGAATCATTATCAGAAAGGTATTGCTAAACCTTTACTTCCTCAGTATTTTCCTACATTTCTGTTCTATATTTTTAATTATCTGTAATGTGCACAGACTATAAAAGTGATGGCTCATAGCAAACCTACATAGTCCAGTATTTAAGACAGCAAAGAGGAAAGCATGTATTTATATCCAGCACAGCTGCGATAAGGCTGTTTCTTTCAGACCCACTAAGTATATCAACTCTATTGGTACTCTGTGAATGAACATTTCATTTCAGTGGCATGTTCCCATCTCTTCTCCATTACCCGTTAGAGGATACCTGGCTGCACAGAGCAATCCTGGACTCGCAAGGCTTCCTCCCCTTCCCAGCAGATGAGAGCAGTGACCACACATCAGCACTTGTTGCTTTTTGGAGTCAGCAATGACTGACCTCCAAGGACAGGCTCACTGCCTGTCCTGCTCCTGCCAGCTGAAGCATCAGCCCATGATCAGTGTCTGGCAGCACCTATCTCCCAAAAGCCATCTCTGTAGGTAGGCAGCTCCCTCCTTCCAGTGCCCTGGGGTTGGTTGCTCCCTGAATAAAGGGAAAACCTAAACAAATGTGTATCTCAGCCATTCCTTATTGCCTCTGTCCCCGTTCACTTTGCTCATACATACGCATTAGGGATTTAGTCCTTCCCCAAACCATCTCCTTTTAAAGGATACAGCAGACAAGGCACAGATGCATGTCTAACCATAAATCATAGCTGTCCGCTCCTGAGAGACCACGAACAAAAGGAAAAAGTCATAAGGTTGCAATGCGTAGAGTAGATATATCATCAGCTTAATCACTCTCTTGGGAATAAAGATGCAGTTTGCACACTACTGTGCTCTCTGTGTGTGAAATAACAGGAACTAACATGGGCTACAGAATAGCCCAGTACATCCTAGCATGACAGCAGGAGAATTAAAATAATAAAAAAAAAGTAAACAAAGCCTTTGAAATATATTACCTAAAACCCCACTTTCTTTATTGGATCATTAGCTACAGCACATTTGTACTGATACTAGCCAGGATAAATTTCAAAGTGCTTTACCATGTCATGGATAAGTTTCTGGTTTCATTCATTTAAAGCCTGTTTCAATACTTTCATTTCTACAAAACAACTCTTTTCTTATATCAATAACTTTTGCAAAACCTCATTGTTCTTCTCAGAAGATTACAGTTTTTAAAGTGCATCGAGTGGCAAAAAACAGACAGCTGGCATACCTGCAAGTGCTGCTCTTCTGCATGACGTCAGCTCGATGATACCCAGAAAGTTTACAAAACCCGTCATTACTATAAACTACAGGCCAGTCCACAATCTGGGCATTTCCCAACAAAAAGCTGGATTCTGCAAAGAGAAAGAGAAAAGGAGACAAAGGGCAGATGTCAGTGGCAAAGTGCAATTAAATCCATGTGTTATACAGCAGATGCAGATTTATTCATGACGGCAACTTATAGCGTGAAATTTCAGAGGGAAGTGAAATTAAAATAGGCATCAGAAAAGAAACTGTGATGTAACAGGGTAACTTAGTAACAAAAGTAGCTTCTTGCACACCAAAATACTGATATAAGTAGCAACACTTTAACAATTTAGAAATTTAACAATTTATTCAAAGCATCTGGGCAAGGTGTCATGTTTGGTTTTCATTTTATATTTAATTGTTTATATATTTATATGGTATTCATATTTTATATGTATCTTGAAATCAACTTTAAATTAACTTGTAAAATGAGTTTAAAATTATGAATTTTATTTGTGCCCAACACTGATGATAACTCTTGCTTCAAGTAAATTTTTCCTGCTGGTAGGTCTGTCTGTTTTGCAGGACACAGGCAGCGTATCTGAATGAGGGACAGACAGCACCAGGAGCCACTGGGGAGGGGTGAGATGTTCCGATGTTCCCACTGCATCTTGTGGCACACCGCAAGCCACATCATGCCTGTGAGTGCAAGTATCAAGTGACCCACATGGAAATTCAGCATGATTGGGGAAGTAATGAGTGCCAAAGGGACTTAAATGTTGAAATAGCACAAAACAGGTACTGAATTTCAGTGGTGGTCTACTAAAAATGCACATAGGTGGATTTGGCTCATCCTAGTAACATGTATCCAGAGCTGTAATTACAAAATATGGGCAGGAAGTACTTCTAGGAGGCTGAAATCAGGCTTAAATATCGTTTCAGTCATTTGTTCTTTCAGTCAGTGCCTACAGTTTATACGCACGGACTGGCACCAACACATTATGAGTTACTCTTAAAATAGTTTTATTCACTAGTTCGGAAAGATTCTTCCATCCCTGCTTTTAGCAAGGCATTTTCAAAGAAGAAAATACCCATTTTTCTTAAACACAATGTTGTAGGATGTTATGTGCATTGAGACTGTAAACATCCCTAATTTTGTTTCAGAAATAATATTCTCACTTAAATAGAGGTTCTCAAATTGTAGTCTGTGATGATCTTCAGCGTTTTCTTTATTTTTACTGTGAGTTTGCAATTTAGTTTTGACTGCAGGTATGGAACTAACTAGCCCCATTCATTGATGCTAAGAAGCTTTTAAAAAATATCTATTAACAATCACCACTGTATAGAAATTATAGGAAATGTTCTTTTCAGCAGTTCTTGGTGGAGGAAGGAGGAGGAAATTAAGGAGATGTTGTACAAATTTTCCACATAACAGCCAAAGCATGGTTATGCCAATTACTTACAGATATATACTCAGGTGCATACATTCATTTTCACGTGAAAGTGACACAGTTTTTAAATGAGCTACACATGCCCCTCTTGCACGTATTTATAACCATGACTGGATTTTACATTATGGTAACATTATACTGTAGAACAAGGAAAGTGTACCAAAAAACCCAGTATGTCTTTCTTTTTTCTTTATAAGCATGAATTTGGAAAAAAAAAATAATAATCTGGAGATTATTGGATTTTCTGTAGAAGAGCAGATCAAAAAATATTTAGAAGCCAAATGATGTGAGTAACAGAAGTTGAGATTTTGTGAAATCTAACCCCTTTATGCCCAAAGAATTTATCTGAATCCATCACAAATATTCTTAAGCCTAAATGCCAACTTAAAAAATTCACTTTTCTACCTGAAGGAAGATGCCCTCACTACAGGCTGCAGCAGACACAGAGTAAAGCCTGAGCATTACATTAAGATCTTCCTGTCTTTCTGCAGCCCTTTCTGCAGCAGGGACTCAGCCCAGCTTTCCTCAGCACAGGGCAGATAATAACACAGGGAACTTCCCAAGCCCTGGAAACCAAAGGGTTCCCATTGTATTGATGTTAACCCAATCTTGCATCTTCTCCAATTTGGGAGGCACCACCAGCCCCCAAATCCACTGGGCTCCCCTCACGGCGGCCACCCTACCACAGCTGCACCCCAGCAGCTGGAGAGGATGGGAGCATAAACAATTCTTAATTTCCTACCCCAAAGGGAAACAACCAATATTACAAGTCCTCTGGTTAGATTTGAAAAGAGATTTATTTGCAGGATTATCTCTCACCAAAGTTTTGCTTGCATATTCCAATATAATTTGCACAACCAGGGCAGTGAGAGACTGTAATACTAAACTCACTCGTGGATGCTGGGCACATCTGGGTGTTCCCCAGAGGACCACAGTCCAAAAGCAAATAATCCTGCTTTGAAGCCTCCCCAACCAACAGACGTAATCTTGATTGTGTATTCCCACCACGTAACTGTTCCAGGACACAGAGTACACAGAGGATGATCTGTCGCAGCCAGCAACCAACAAGATGACATACCACACTTAAAGGTTGCCTTCTATTCTTTACACCTGAGGGTCTCAAAATACTTGATAAGGTATGCATTCACTAAACTGATCAAATCTACCAGAAACTTGGGAGGGAACAAAATGTAAAGCCAAACTATGGATTTTTAAAAAATGAAAAAAAATAGACACTAGAAGTATCTGTGGTATTTGTAAGGTTAGATCAGATATATATAGTACATGTGCTAGAAATCTGATGAGATCTTAGCATATGTTTTCTTTTGTCCCCATGAATTTTTCTTTGTTTCACTGACATTTTTTACCCTTGTCTCCTAAGCAAGTAACGCTTATTCATCCCTACTCAGCATGTGAATATGTATGTGTGTGTCCTATTCCAACCAAAGAAAAATCTTGAATGAATGTTTGCATCTTGCTAGAGACAAATGAATATAACTGTGGGAAAAAAGCCATAAGAATCCATGTTTCATTAATGCCACTGCTCAGTGAGCAGCTTGATAAAATTCAAGGAAGAACGAGTCAGCATCGGAACCTTGAGTTTTATTGTGTACCAAAGTCCCAGCATTCACAGGACTCCATGCTTACCGTACATTTTATCAAAAGTCATGTTATTTTCTCCAACCAAAACACATCAATTCTTCCCTATTTCTACAATTTATCCAGATCAAAACTCCAGGCAGATTTAACTCTACATCAGACAGACCACACCCAGTTGTAAACAACCAAACTGTATTCGGTGACAGGACACCTTGAGAAAACCTCTATTTTTTAGCCAAGTGCAAAGGGACATGAAGGAGTTTTTGCTTTGAATCCTCTGCTGTGACTCCTTGTATATTCTCTAACATGTCTCCATTTTGGGCCTAACCTTGACAAAGAGAGACTCTGTAGTAGACAATACCACCTCAGGGTTTCTAGGAGTTTTACGTACTTGGAGAAGAGACTGTTTTATATCGTTTCATCACCACTAACTACTCATGAAAGTCCATTTCTGCAGTTGCTTCCCTTAAGGTTCAGTATTGATAGACAGTCCTGGACTAAATCCATCTGCATGCCTGACTTCCATATTTCTACAACTCAGTTACATGGTTTCCTCACTAAGAAAAACCAATCACAGTTGAGTCTTCAGTTAAAACTTCCATCCGTCTGATTATATCAAATTCCACTCTGTTCAATTCGCAGCTGGCTGCTTAAACCTCCTGTAAGAGGAAAGGACTGGGAAAAAACACATTTTATCTCCATCTTCAGTTGTCATAGGGTGGCTTAACATCAAAGAAGAGGAGTCTGCTCCCTTCCAAACACAACTGGCTGCATGTTCTTCCTTTGCTAGCAGCTCCAAAACAAGGGCCGTCAGCCAAGGGCACACAGATGTCCCCCGGTGCACTGCTGTGATGACTCTGTGGTGAAGTCCCATAGTAGCCTCTTGGTACAAGCCAGGTCTTCATTCAAGTAGCCCAGGTATAGTAAAAGGCAAGTGTGCTACAGACCTGCCTACAGACTGCCAACTGACTTGCTTCTTCCTGAGATACACTGAGACTCACTGAACACCCACACCATGGCTATTCACCCAATGGCAGCCCAAGGACATGCCCCACAGACATTGCTGCAGGCAAGCACTTGGTGCACCTCCATCATCAGATCCCAGGTTCACTCCTCATCCTCACCATCCTCTGATAGCCCACACCCCACATCAGTTAGTTCATACCAAATAGCTTTGGAGTGAGCCAAAGGACCTTTACACAGTCTTCTCTAAAGCATGGGCATGAGCCCTGCAATGCCGTATGCCAAGGATGCTCCACACAGAGCAGATGTCTTCTGCAAGACAGACCCAGGCTCAGGCCCCCTTCAAGGGAGAGCCAGGCTCACCGAGCCTGCTCTAGTTTTCAACAGATAAGAATAGTGTTTTGTGCCTTCTTCAGGAGAGAGCCAAAAAAAGTATGGAAACTGCAGAGTGATAAGCATAGGAAGAACACTGGCACTGGGATGCCCAAAGCTGTTTTCCAGTTGGATTTGATACACAAGAGCTATATTCCACAAACCATTTTTTTAAAAGAATATGCTATATTGGAGGTATTCTGAAGTTTAAGTATTTCTTAGAAGAATTTAGCTACCAGTAACTGGAAAACATTGAATTCAGCAGCTACCATGTGGCAATATCTTATATTCTGAAAACATTAACATGCAGCTAGTTTCAAACTTGCATGATGATTAGCCTGAAACATCTGGTAATGCATTCATCCTTGCTTAGATTTCCCTGATGCCCTGAAAATGCATTTCCACTTCCCATTTCCTTAGAGATAAAAGTCAATTTTTATTATTTCTAAACTTGTCTTGATGTCATTGCCTCCACCAACCATTTTCTCCACCCATCCCCCTTTCTGATATATTGTAGAGAGCCCAAATCACAAATCTGTATGTTGTCTAGAGTTCTTCGACTAAATGCATTTAAACACCAGGGTCTGCCTATAAGAGTATGGGGAAGCAGGGTTCAGCCAGCAGAGTGGCCTGTCTCAGAGTTGCTAGATTTCGCTTAGGAAGTCAGCAGGCTTTTTATTAGTTAAAATATTTGCAAGGTTTAATACTGATGACAAGGAATT